TTTTTTCCAATTTTCCGGAAAAACGCACGAAAAAAAAATCCCGGAGGCTAAAACAATTAGATCATGGTGATATTGGTCAGAATTTCCAGTTTTTTTCATTTTTCGTCATGAAAATAAATCACTTTGTTTTTCATTTGATCCATCCAATTTTCAGAGAAATTCGGAGCAAACACAGACTGGATTTTTTGGCTCCAGGCGTTCTTTTGTATGAGAAAAAATCGAAAAAATAGAGATCATGAGCTTGAAATGAGCCATATGACACATAAAACCAATTAAGGGGGTAATTAGGAGGGGTAATTAGAGAGACTACAAACTACTAAAAAAATGAGGTTCAGAAACTGGAGCTGAAGAAAAAAAGAAAGTGAAAGTCAAAAATTCTGAAAATCCTCAAAAACAAAAAAATACAAAATTCTTGGAAAATACAAATTTCAGCAAATTCGAAGTTTCAGAAAAGTCCTGTTATAGAATTGCTGACTAAAAATTGTCAATTTTTAAGATTTTCTAGTTCAAATTTTTGAAAAAATGAGCAATTTTGATAGTTACCGTAAACACTCTAATAGAACGCCACCCGAATCGTCAACTTTGAGCCCATGTATCTCATTTTCTGTAAGAGATATCAAAAAATGGTACACTAATAAAATGTTGCTTGTATTATGTTAAACATTTTATTAGTTGACAACTTTTTGATATCTTTCAAAAGAAATGAGATATATAGGGTCAAAGTGGACGGTCCGAGTGGCGTCCTTTTACAGTGTTTACGGTATAAAATCTGAAAATCTCCAAAAACTGTGTAAGCCTATAACACTAATAGAGTGAACATACAGACATAGACGGGCGGTTCGTAAGTTCTTTTTCCTCAAAAAAAAAGTTTCTCTGCGTCTCTCTTAGCTCTCTCACTCTCTCCAATATCCCATCCCATCCCATTCTATTCAAATAGAGAAAATAGTTAGACAGTTCTCTCTGCGTCTCTCTATTTCCCATACTCTCTAATCCATTGCGATCGAGTGGGATGTGTGAGAGCCTCGAAAAAAAGAGCACACACATAGCAAAGAGAAAATTAACAAGTTAAACTTGAAAAAACCGAAAAAACAGAAGTTTTGAGATTTTTTGAGGAGAGAGAGAGAGAGAGAGAGAGAG